TTGTCAAGACCATGCAATTCATTGATGATATTAGTAAAACGGGAAAACATAGCATCAATGGATTCATTAGGAAGCATTTTAAATAGCTCATAATCATGCATAAACCCACTAATCTTAGATTCCTTAACTTGGGGGTTCCTTCATGTGTGATACATAATTTTACCCAAATTTCGTATGCGGTTGCACACGTGGAAACTCTATTGTATTCATTGGGGGAAAGACCACAAATTAAGGTGTTCATAGCCTTAGCATTGAGATTGGCTTGGTGCCTTTCTCCATGGGTCATGTTCCCGACTTTGGACTTCTCTACATACTTCTTTTCTATGAGCTCTAGGATGTCAAGATGAATACAACGAAGGTAAATTCTCATCCTAGCCTTCCAATAAGCAAAGTTACTCCCGGTGAAGAGTGGTGGTCTAGTGGTGGATTGTCCTTCTAACATATGCATATTCAAAGAAGCCTCCATTAGATCTTTTCTCTAAGGCGGTTAAACCAAAAACTAATATAGAGACCAAGCTCTGATACCAATTGTTGGACCCTAGAGGGGGGGTGATTAGGGTCAAGAGGCTCTAATATGCAATAAAAAACAAACACAAGCAAACAAATTAAGACAAGCAAACCACAGTATTCTAATGCAATCAAAATAGAGGAGATAGGGTTAGGAATCGTTATCCTGTGACGCGCGATATGTTAACGAGGTTCGGTCCACTGACCTACGTCCCCGCTCCCCACTCTCGAGGAGAAATCCACTACACAACCCGGTTTGGAAGCCGGAACTTCGTCTACACAGCGATCCCCACACGATCTCATATTACACAGTTGATCTCACTAGATCACATTCCCTCACAGTTGATCTACACAAGATCACACTCACAAGATAGTACACAGTTGATCTCACTAGATCACATTCCCTCACAGTTGATCTACACAAGATCACACTCACAAGATAGTAGAAATGGTGTAAGACTCTCTCTTTACAACGTCCCTATGGCAAAGAGAAAGAGCACACTGAAGCTGGGAAGTGAACACACAAAAAACACAAAAAGAACAGTTTGAAAATTTTGCTCAGTGAAAACAAACGTCTCTGGTTTTTTTTAACAAAAGCTGGGACAATGAGGAAGAAGAAGAGGTGGAGTTTAAATAGGAGAAAAATAGCTGTTTAAACCCATCCCTTAATCCCCAAAATCTGGAAGCAAAGCGTCGCTGAGATCTGTACTGAGCGGCGCTGGAAAAGGACCAAAATTACCGTTTGAATAATACGGCGGTCGACCAACGAAATTTTCGATCGACCGACGAAATCATTCGGTCGACCGACGAAATTTTCGGTCGACCGCGATCCAGATCGAAAACGAGATCGACCGACGAAATTTTCGGTCGACCGCGATCCAGATCGAAAACGAGAAAAACAAACAGAGACTTCATCAGTCGACCGGTGCGGTCGACCGATAGAAAAATCGAGCTCTCGGTCGACCGCATCGGTCGACTGACAAACTCTCTACTGCCCACTGACGAATGATCATATGAGCGGTCGACCGGTGTGGTCGACCGCATTCTGATACATTTCAGATAAACAGTTTTTGACTCAACTAAAATATTTAGAAAATATTTATTTGACCTCTGAAAATTATGAAACTTTGTAAAATGTTTTTAATACTAAAAACAAACTGTTTGGAAAAGGAATTTTGCAGATAGGTCCTCATACTTGTGAAAAATAATATTTTGTAAAAAACGCTTAAAATATAAGTATGAAAACGTGTGTGTGATATCCCAATAGCTTCAAGTGAAGTCAATAACTCTTTGCCTACATTCTAGCACTAGAGAGAAAAATAAAAGATAGCTAATATCCTCATATAGAATGCAATGCTTGAGTCTTGATATAGCTTGAATTTGATGAAGCTTCTATTTGAATTTGTTGTTCTTGAAATAACGTTGCTTCATCACTATGCCTCCTCCTCCTTTGGATATCATCGTTGTAACGCATATTCCATCCAATCCTCCATTTGTGGTACTAACAAGCTTGATAAATGAATTCACTACATTTGTACTTAATAAGCCATTAGTACCGATAATGGTGGTTGTAAAACATCATCAAAACATAAGGGCTAACACTTCTCAGTTGGATGCTAGCTTGCCTCTCCGAGTGTCTTTGTTGAAAGCAGCTTTGCGGAGGATGAGGTCGCTAGCATTGAATCTCCTTGGTTAGATTTTGCTATTGTAGTAGCGGGCGATTCGCTGCTGATTAGTGACCTGGGTTCGGAGTGCTTTCTCTCGGGTTTCGTCTAGGAGGTCGAGGCCGACTCAGTGTCCTGTTGAGTTCGCGTCCTCATCAAAGTGTTGTAGCTGAATGGTCAATATGCTTACTTCGACGGGCGTGACTACTTCAGCACCATAATCTAGCTTGAATGGCGTCTCCTTGATCGGGTTCTTTGTGGGTCGTGCGATATGACCAGAGGATACTAAACAGCCTTTCAACATCTTTGAAAGCTGAAGACCCTAGAATAGAGGCTATCCTAGCGAAGGAAGGAGGCCTTCTCTTATTGTTCTCATGATTTGACAATCAAGAAGCCGGAGTAGTCTCCAAAAAGACAACCAGGAGTCGGAGTTCTTCTCTCTAAAAAGACAACCAGGAGCCGGAGTGGTTCTTTCTAAAAAGACAACCAGGAGCCGATCTTCCTTGGAGGAAGCTTTGAAGGTGATGGGTGCTCCTCCATCCTATAGATGGCTAGCTGATAAATACTCTCAAAATGGTTGCTAAGGCTATAGAGGAATACGACTATGTCGATTCCTCTCAACCAAAACCAAACCCTTCTTAGCTTGAGTGATACAACTCCGAACTCCGCTTAGCTTGGGTGATACAACCCTTATGTTGTTAAGGGTGAATTGATCAGCCTATATTCAGGGCCTAACATGTTTTCTTGAAGAAGAAAACGAGGAGGCCCCATGGTGGGCGTCAAACTGTTGATGGTTTATATGATCGCACAGTCAGTTGCATCCAGGCTAGGACGGGATGGTTGATGAGTGATGAGGGGGCCGCTTTCTTCCCTAACTTTATGTCCGGTTCTTGAGTTGGGTGGTCAGGATCTGCATATATAGAAATACGTAAGAGGGTGAGGATTAGTTCCCCCGTGATTCCTCCAACGACCAAGTTAGTTGATGAACTTGAGTGGGAGAAATGAACCCAATGAGTTCTTGTTATGCAGTCTATTTTTGTAGAATTAGAAAATTTGGATTGGGATCAGGAATTCGTCCCTCTTCAGGGGTGAAATAGTATATGTATTTATACCTAGGGTATAATGGTAGATTGGTCACTTCGGCCGAGCACAGGAGGGCGGTGGCGAAGTATGGACAGATAGCTGAGTCAACCTCTACTTTACAGATGTCAAATGGCGACTGGAGGAAAGATTACTTTGGCATTGAATGGGAAGTGATCGGCGGCATGACAAGGCCCACATGGTCCGATGATTTATGAAGGCTATCAAGGTCAGAGGCATGATGCGCTTGACATGCATTAAATGTGATGTTGACACGTTGTCAGGAAGGATAAGCTCAAGGCAGAAGAAGTCATTTGCCTTCAGTGAGAAGTAATGCCTTTCGAGTCGGCTTCGTAAGGCATCTAGCAAATGGTTGAATGGACCCGTGGCGAGTCGTTTTTGACAAAAGGGAGGCGACAAGTTCTGCCTTTCGAGTTGAAATTAAGGGATGTCGAGTCGGCGGGTCGGTGGAGTGGTCGTCCCTACTAGTCTCTGACCACCAAGTTGATAGGGACATAGCATGTAGAAGCACCCGTCCGTTGCTTGGCAGTGAGCTTGCACTTTAGCGAATGGGAACACCATTACATCTTTTGGATCAAATTATCAAGATCTAAACCCTCTAGGGGATTATTTTCCATAGTCTGGTTCAACATTCTAGTAAAAGAATCTGGCGCAAGAACAAAAAGAAGAGGAGAACGAGGATCCCCCTGCCGAACTCCTCTTTTGGACAAAATCTAATGTCTAGGTTTCCCAATTAAAACAATAGCAGGAAGACCCCCTTTTTAACATAGATAAAAACAAGAAATCCATCCAACACCAAATCCTTTGGCCTTAAGAACGTGGAAAATAAAGTTCCAATCAAGAATATCATAGACCTTTGCAAAATCTAATTTTAAAAGAACCCCTCCCATGTTTAATATTTTGAAAGCAATCAGTTAATATTTCTTGAGCCGCAACTACCCCTTCAATCAAATGTCTCGCTTTAATAAAGCTAGTTTGGACTAGGTTAATTAACGGATGTAATTCGGTATTCAACCTATTTGTTAGGACTTTGGCAATAACTTTGTATATCACACTTAATAGTCTGATTGGTCTTTAGTTATTTACAGAAGTAGGCTCATTTCTCTTTGGAATCAAGATGACATGTGCATAATTGAGTCCACGAATCTAAAAAGATCCCTCAGAGAACTCATCAAAATTATTTTTAAAATCATATTGCACCCATTCCCAAAAAAAACTTGTAAAAACAAAGCAGGGGATCCATCTGTTTAGCCTTGCCATATTGGAAGGAGAATGTCTATTACTTCACTCAGTGAACTTTCTGCCACGTGGAGGACTGTCAATAAGCACTAATTCACTTACAGTATATCATTAAAATCCTAACATGGTTAGTTCTCCCTTTTCTTTCATTAATTTGGATTAGCGGTGATATTTAAATCACCTGCCACCGCCCAAGCTCCCGAAACCTAACTTTTTAACATCCCTAAACCCCTGCCAAAATAAGATTCTTTTCCCTATTACAGAGAAGTTTTTTTTTGTCGTACGACGACGAAAATCACATAAGCCCCACTATTAGGAAAACACTACAGGCACATTTTAACCATACTTTGGGGCACATCCCCTTCCTCAGCGACGGTGCACAGGGCTCACTTTAAATTAAAAAAAAAAAATCTAAAGTAGACCCTGTGCACTGTAGCTAAGAAAGGGATGTGCCCAAGGTGTGGTTGGAGGAATAGAGAGAACGCTCCAAGGTGTGGTTGGAGGAATAGAGAGAACGCTCTACACATATAACGTCTTGCATCAGAACCATTAGAAAGCGCTTGAGTCTGCTCTTCTCATCATCTCAACTCCTCAGTAAAAAAAAAAAACGAAAAATAAAATAAAAAATGGATAGAAGAAGAGTGTGCATCATCGGCGCAGGCATCAGCGGCCTGACCGCATGCAAGCACCTGCTCTCCAAGGGCTTCATCCCCACCGTCTTCGAGGATGTACCGGTTCTCCGACTACCCGTGGCCTCCGGAGGTGACCGAGAAGTACCCGGACCACGCGCAGGTGATGGAGTACCTCCGGTCGTATGCTGCGCACTTCCACGTGCTGGATCACGTGAGGTTCTCAACGAGGGTGGTCGGGGTCGAGTATGTCGGTCCGTCGGAGGAGGAGATGATGGCGTGGGATACGTGGGGGGGAAACGGAGAGGCGTTTGGGAGCGGGGGAGTTTGGCACGTGAGAGTGCAGCGTGGACACGATTGCCAAATTGAGGTAATTTTTTGATTTTTTTTCCTTCTCAAATTTTGATAAATTTCACATACATAAACTATTTCATAACGCAGCGCAGAAGTAAAACATCGGAATCCACCAATGTTGTTCTCTAAATCCACAAAGAATGATCTGCGAATCCACGAAAAAATATTAAAAGAGAAACTTTATTGATGAGAAGACATGCCTCTAAGCCTTACAATACTCTGCTTAAATAGAAAAGAAACAAGGCTTTTACCATGACTCGAACTTTATCAAAAATAAAAATAACAAAACTCTTTTTAAAAAGACTCCCTAGGATTAGGGAAGTAAATCAGTCAAATTTGGGATTAAATCGGATTTACATACACAAAATAGAACCAACCTCTTTTACAGTGGCGGATCCACGCCCTATCATGTGGTGGTTCAAATTTTATTTTTTCAAGTACTACTATTGGAGACGTAAAAAAAAATAGTAAGAAAGCAAAAAACTATTTTTAGAGAAGCAAAAATAAAGAAAATAGGAGAAAAGTAGATATATAAAAACAATTATTTGGCTTATCTTCATAAATGGATACATTGAAAGAAAAAGAAACAAAAAATAAGGTGGAGGTAAAAAAAGAAAGAAAATAAAGTAGAGAACTTGGTTGGTAATAGCAAACTAAGAAAGCTTTGGGAGTTTCGAACCGGAGACCTCTTAGAACATAGCAACATTAGTACCACTAGGCTATAAGTCACTTATGTTTACTAACAGATATGTATAATATATATAGAAAACTTATAAATATGAGATGGTTCAACTGAACCGGTTTGAACAGGCATGGGTCCGCCCCTGCTCTTTTATAAAAGTATAATTATGAGATTTAACAAATAGAACACAAAATAACAAAACTCTTTTTAAAAAGTTAGAATGTGAGATTTAACCTAATAAAAAAATATAAATCACATACACAAAATAGAACCCAACCTCTTTGAACCTTGATAAGATCCAATTCAATGGTAAACATTTTTTCTAGCATCCAAAGTAATTAAGAAACGTTGTTAAATTGTTAAAGACGGATAGCTCAATAGTTATGTTGCGTGGATACGGTGTTAAATACTTAGAACATTTCTTTCGGATATTTTCACCTAACTTCAAAGAAACACTTTCAGAACTTGAATGTGTTTTCTCCCTCTGGGTGAGGGTGTCAATATGTTTGGGCCCAAAAATAATTGTTAAAAACAGATATCTAAACCAAATTAATTTATAAATTACTCTCTAAATTGTAGTGAATTAAAATTCAGCCCCAAATGGTCACCATATTTCAATTTTATTCTGCATCTAACTTTAAAGGAAATAACATTAGAATATTTTATTAAATGTAAGTTTTTATGAAATGATTAAACTAGGGGTGATGAATAAACGATGATTTTGTTATCATCAAATGGCAAATAACCCTTCATCTATATCTTCAGTTAAGATTTATTACCCCTTAACTTGTATGCTAGCATTTACCATCACTAATTGGTAGGGAGAGGGAAGTTATCTGCAATTTATCCGTCTAGAACTGCAAACAATATGAACCTAATTGTTTAAATTGGATTTTTTCGCACTTAAATACCTCAAATATTAAATCGTTTTTAACCAAAAATCTTCAGCTTTGATGCCCCCTCTTAAGTCACATTAAAGCATAAAAATTAAATATTTTTGAGTTACAGTGACAGATCCTGATCCTCAGTTGTATGATTTGAGTAGACATAGCTTCAAAAAATAAGAAGCATATGACAAGTAAAGAACCTCTAGATTTGGTAGTAATGCTTGTATTGCATCGAGCAAATATCTTTGATCTATTGGTTTATTCAAACTTATGTTTGAATAAGATGTATTATGGTTCAATTAAAGTATATGACTACATGCAATGGATGCGCATAACATGGAGTTTCACTAACCCCTAAAAACTTTTCAGCAGTAAAATGCCAACAACTTTTAAAATCACACTAAACCCCAATAACTTTTGCATTTTGCAGAAACCCCCCAATACATTTATGCATTTTGGAGATATATAACGTCCCCCATAAATTTGAACCAAAAGACAAATAAAATGGCATTTTGCAATTATTGGGGTTTAGTATAATTTACCCAATCTACAAAAGTTATTCGGGGTATAATGAGATTTTGGAAGTTATTGGGCTTTTACTGGAATTTTTTTCAGAACAGGTTTACTGTAATTTAATTCCACTATGAACATTCAAATAAATAAAAAAATAACATATAATATCAAATAATCATTCATGAACTAAAATAGCGTGAACTTTTATTTTTATTTATATTACCAAAATCTTATATTCTATTTCTATGGCTAAATTACAAGATTGATATTTGTCCTTGACCTTTTTTACCAGTTTGGTAATTATTTATTGTTTGGCTTTATTTTGATATTTTTTTGGTCCATTGTTCGGTATCAAATCTTCACTATGTTTTTACTATTCCCTCAAATCATTAGAATTTGAAATTTATTCCCGAAAACTCTTAGTTCCCTCCCCCTCTCTATTATCCCTTACACCACCTAAACTTTTTCTTTTGCTACCACTTTCACCTCCGCCCGATCGTATTCTCTAGTCCATTAATTTCTCATAGATGGCTCCAGATTTCACTTCTCGGACTCCTAAGGGGCTGTTTGGTTGTATGTTTTTACCATGTAAAAGGATGGAAAGCGTAAAAAAGTGGGTCCCAATGTCAGCTTTCATCACTTTCAATTGTTTGTTTGTAGTTGTGAAAATAGTGATTGGCGTACTTTTACATTCGTGCTTATTATTCATATTGCCTTTGTCAATTGCTCATTGTTGTTTTTCTTCTATCTAGTTTATGATTAATTCACCCCCGTGTTAATTTTATATCCTTGCACATATATTGTCTATACCTCTTTGTTAGGATATATCTTATTGTTTATATATCCTTACACATATTTCTATCATATAGGATATATCTCTTTGTTGTTCATTTTGCTTATTCTAGCTTATATATAGTTGTTATATTTCATACTTGCTAGGATAACTTGTTAATAAGTTTTAATTGGCATTCATACTTGCTAGGATAACTTGTTAATAAGTTTTAATTGGCATTTAAATCGGATTAGATTAGCATAAGACACTAATCACCCCCCCTCTAGGGTCTAACACGATCCACTCCGGTGGTTGGATTATCTGTAGAGTGATCGAGACACGAAGTGCGTTGTTCTTTTTGCGAACATCGCCGGGTTCCCGATTGGCCCGGGTCTTCGTTGTTCCGAAATCCTATCAGCTCACGTAGTTCGTCGATTCACTTCAATCGTTCATCGACGTCAATTGAACTCCTGTGGATCAGATAGTGATGTTCATTGTCGCTCTTTAACACTGAACCGTTCGTGGAGACCTATAGGCAATTTTCGATGCCGTGGTAGGGATTAATTTCAAATTTGAATGATTTGAGGACTAATACCCATAAAAGTGAAAACTTGAGGTACTAATATCAACAAATCCCTTCCATTTTATACACTCCAGATCAGCAATTCGCGTGTTTTTTGACTTCCCGCTAACTTTTCGAGCTATTTGAACGATGGGCCAAGAAAAAAAAAACAAAATGAGTCAGGAGTAAGAAAAAAAAATACCAAAGTTGTGAAAAAGAGTTTAAGAAAAAAAAAACCAATCTGTTAATTTAGCATTATTTCGATAGTCATATCAAAAAGCCGAAGCACTCGAAGGTTTTGCGGAACTTCTCTTGGGGTGATTTTACCCTTAAGCCCCCAAAGGTTTTGCGTAATTTTTCTTCAGACCATTTTGACCCTCTCATGTCACAATATGAAATTTGCTAACAACTAAGTTTGGGGAGCACGTTTTTCCTGCACGTGTGCCCTTCGTCCTTACTCTTTTCCATTTCGCACAAAAATAAGGTTATTTCAATATTAGTCCCTTAAATCTTTAATATTTTAATATTAGTACCCCAAAAAATTCCTTAAGGACCCAAAATATGGGAACAATAGGGGGGACAAGTAAGGTGTCCCTCTCCTATTGGATAATGAGTTGGCCATCATTAATGATGGTCAACTCATTATCCAATAGAAGGGAGACACCTCACTTGTCCCCTTTATTGGTCCCATATTTTGGGTGCCTGTAGCAAAGCTCTTAGTACCCCCATTGAAATTGGTCTTACGTCCCCAAATCTTACAATTATTCTGAAATCAGTAAAAGAAGCATACAACTTTGACCATGGGTACGTCTGTGCTTATTACTTGTATTGTATGCAACTGATTAGAGAATGACAAATAAACCTGCTGCATCATTTAATTCTAATTTATTTGTTTCTTTAGAAATAAATTAAGTTTGAATTCTTGAATTAGTGGTTCTTTTTGGCAATCATATGTATTGGAGCTCAATATTTAACATGAGCTAAAATCTCATTTCACCTTCTTGACCTTATGTAGATGCTACTCATAGATTTTGATCATTGTCTTCCCATACCAAATCGAAGTGAACTTGATTCAAAACCGTACCAAACTGAATCAAGTCAGTCTATCCAGTTTGTTTGGCGACATGTCAAGTTAGGGCAATTTAAGCCAACACACAACTCTCACTGGCCTCAAGCTACTAGCTAAAGTCGACTCTTGCCGATCTGAATCCTCGTCCAGATCTGGATCTGCAGCCTCGACCTCTTTGGATGCCGCCGGGATGTCACGGGGCACGGGCGCAGCAACGGTGACGGGATCTTGGATCTTAGAGCCGGAGGTCCCGCGAACATTTCTGGAAGAGGATACCTTCCTGCGCCAGTTCGGAGAGGCGGATCTGGAGGAGGAGGAAGAGAGGTACTCTTCAAACTTTTGCTGATCGAACTCGTATTCGATCTCTTCATTCACCCGGATCTTGAATGCCGGTTGCGTCACGACGGCCTCGGCAGCGAGGCCGTTGGCTCCCACTGTGGTCGCCAGCTTGTTTGCGGAGAAAGTTGCCTTCATTATCGAATTCATTATAATCTGGATCGCTTACAAAGAATTCAAGATATTCAATAAAAA